TTTGGGTTTGATTATAACGAGACATTTGATCGATCAGGACAAAGACAATCTTATTAAAGCTGGTGTAAAGCAGCAACACTAAAATTGATGTGTTTTTTAGTTTTTGGTCTTTTTTGATTAAGGAAAAAAAAAAAAAGGCACAGACAACACCCAACTGAACACATGTGGGGATTTTAATTGTACCGGTTATTTGTTTAAAACGGAATGTGCTTAGGATGCCATTTCCTACTGCAATTCTATTGGCTGATTAGTGTAATGATTAGTGTTAAATTGAAGTTTAAAATTAACGTTGTGGTGATTAGGACAGTTTGACCGATACATCGAGGATATAAATTCGGACAATTTAAATTTGTTATGTGAGAAAGTGGACCGTTCCGGCTCGACAATTAAGGATGATCGCTCGTTGATCGGAATTCGGACATGTTCGAAATATAGTACTAATAGTAAGGGGAGGGCCTACCTGGGTTTCCTTCAGCTTATTACAAACATTCTCGCCATTCAATTTTCCCGCTGGTTAAAAAAAAAAAGAAAAAGGAAAATCATGTAAGGAAATAGGCGCCACCCAATCCAGGATTTTGAAGCTGTTAAAAACCCGGAATTGGTGGGTCACGCCTTCACTCTTTTCAAGTCAAATCCAAAAGATCTCTGGTATCCCATTGCAGCCCCAGCCAATATCAATACTGACTGCTCCGCTACACTACAACAAACAGTAAAAATACTAGTAAAATGTTTACAAAAGACAGTAAATTTTACTCATTTCAAAGAATTAAGATCACAACATTCCCGTGGTAGACAATTTTCCTGTAAAAATAATTGTTCTTAACCATATTATTTTTTGAAGTCGATCATTTTAGTAATAACAATTCCATCCTCAACCATATTATTTGTTGATTTCTATGACGATGTGTATACAAAACCAATCGTTTTTACAGTGACACGCTTGTGATAAATTATTTAGCCAATGTAAATTTGAACATTTTGAGTTGGATGAGACAAGTATTTTACGAATAGAAGTACAAAATTTCTGTTTCTTTTGTCCATCCACCCACTGATAATAATTGAAGACGTGCATCAACTGATGAACAGCGGCAGAAGCACTAACAAAAAAAAAAAAAGAGATATCATAGTTTTGAATTAAAGTTGATAAAACTCTGAGGAAACTGAAATGGACTGGACATGAAAGAGGAGAGGGAAATCGTACAGGGGGTCCATTATTGGGAGCATCTCGGAGATGATAGAATCATGGAAGTGGTGGTGGCAGTTTGGTTAAGCCTCCGATCTTCTGAAATCAATTTTAATGCCCTTCTTTCAGTACTGCTACAGTGTTTCTCTCTTTTTTACGACTCATTTTTCATGTCTTTTGTGCATAATGCACAAACAAGCAAAAGAAAAGAAAAAGGAGCAGAAAAAGGACATTACCTGAATAAATGCATATTACTGCTGGGGCTATAACGTTTGCAGAATTGCCAGAATAAAAAAGCTGAGTCAATCGAGTGCGTATTTGACCCTTGTACTACTACAATTTTATTTTTATTTTTTTCACATAAAGGGGTACGTGTGGAAGTCTGCTGTGCATTTTGTCTTGATTTAGTAATAAACATCTCCTCATTTTTTCGAATTTAAATCTGAACGTTTCCTTTCTTTGACTCAAAAGGAAAAAATAACAATAACTTGAGTAATAATGTCTTATTATTTGGACGTACATATATCTAAATTTTCCCCTTACATTTGAGTTCAAGCTGTAAAATTTTCCCAAATTAACCTGCATTACCTTGTCTTGATTGCTTGTGGGTCCAGTGCTACTTAAATTACATCAAATTTGGGCTTGGATCGCCATATTATTATGGATTCATTTACTACCCAAAATAATTGAGAGTGAACTACTACTACTACTACAAATCGTGCCGTGTAGGGTACACATAATACTATCTCCCAAGAGTGATTAAAGTAATACTCCCTCCGTCCCATAATTATTGTCCAGTTTGAATTTTCATTTCTAGTTCAAATTATACTAAAAGTGAAATCTCAAACTGGACAATAATTATGAGACAGAGAGAGTACAATTTTGATTCAAGTAGTTTTAAAATATTGCAAAATATCAATATCCGATAGGGGTTATAAATAAATTGTGGGTGTGTTTTAAGAGGGCCAAATTTACAATTTTCCATTTTTTTTAATGGCAATTTTGCTCCTTGGCGAGATGAAAATATTGTTTTATTTGTCGGCGTACAAATTAAATCAATGGACACCGGGAGTTGACCGTCCAAGGATCAAGGTAAAATCTGGTGTTTTGTCGTTTTGAGCCGTGTATCTTCTGAGGACCGAGAGACAATTAGACAATGACTGAAATTCGGAACTGTAGAGCGTGGGTGAGAGAGGACTTAACCAGTGTTATTTATATTTCCAAATAATTTCAATTTGCATAAAATATAGTACTCTATCATCTTTCCTGCCTTCCTTGTGTGTGTATTCCTTGCCCCGAGGTCTTGTTGATAAAATTTCGTTATATACTATTATTTCCATAATGAAATTAGAAAAGAAAAAATACTATTTTTAGAATTACTTTTTGGTGCAATCAAGTACAACCACTGCAATCTCATCGGATAATTAACAACTGAAGACGTGAAGTAATCTACCGCTAAATTTAATTCTGGAAAAAATATGATCAATCTACTGTTGTTTTTAAATACGAGGATTATTCGAATACTGCCTCAAATAAATCGAAGTTTCTAATTAAGAACTATGAGCAACTGTTGGTTGGGCAGACTAGACCCCGGTGCGGCAGTAGTGAACCACTGAATTATGCGGCGTCGATTTTTTTATTTTTTTATTTTTTTGTCTTTTGACTTTATTTGTTCTCAGTTAGAGGAAGCAATGCTGTAATTATATCTGCTAGCTGAGGCAAATCCAAATCATAGGTAAATTATGTGTTGCAATCATTAGCAATTGAATTTAGCTCCAAAAAATTGTACTGCTCCTACATACCTACTGGATTTAGCTTGGATAGTTAGATCCACTCCGAGACTGAAAACCTAGCTATAAATCTACAGTGAGCAAGACTATTTATTTACGTAAAATGTTATCGTCTCTTTGGATCCTTTTTTTAATTAGTTATTTTAACCGTTTTTTTTTGAATTTTTTTCTTAATATATTTTCCATCTATGCATGTTTTATAACATTTTTACTACACTTTTTTATATTTTTAACACAAGAAAAAGTACACTGAAAAATAAATCCAAACATATTATCGACAATGTACTATTTTATTTCTCGGTGAAAATAGGTAGGAAATAATGACCAGTTTATGAAAACTAACCGCTCTGGCATTGTACGAAAAAATATTTACAAACAGATAGTTAACGTGGTACTACTGTGTAAGGAATTTGTATGTTAGGTTCCTCACGTGTTAATTGATTTGATTTACGGGAAAAAAAAAAAGTGTGAATCGGTGGACGGTATTCTGGAATTTTTTTGTTCAGGTGTACTGGGAAATCATTTTGTTAAGATAAATAATTTGATACAGGCTATGAGGGGATAAATGGATAATACGCGCAAAAAATCGCACATACAAAGGCCACACACGGACGGATGCCACCGCACACCGTGTCGGTTTTACACTCAAGCTTAATGACAAGCATAATTTCTATTGGAAATTTCAGTGCCAAATTGACAAAATCTTTTATCCTGGAAATTTTCCCAAATACGAATATAATTATTCTCTTTTTCTTTCTTGCCCTAAACAATACTGCCTCAAGCCATTTATATGCTGAATTAATGACCATATCCTGGATGGACCCAGTACAGTATCCGTGCCCCGTTCAATACCCATTGGGAGCACAGGTGGATTTTTCTTGTACACTTTGACTTCAGTAATTGGTTTTTTATTTTATTTCTTTTATTTATTACTCCCTTTAATAAATGATTAGTTACTGTTACTTGACGACGATGGACACTCTGCAAATATGAAAAAAATAATAAATACTTGTACTAATTATTTTGAGAGAAGTGAAACATTTCTTTTGTATGTGAGCCTCTATAGAGTGTAGAGTCCAGATGTGTGCTATTTTCAATCACTGGAAATAAGTAGATGTGCTATTTCCCAAATGAATATAGATGTGTTATTCTAATTCTTCTTGATAGACAATTGCGCATTCCACAAAAGTTAAGCAAATAGAAAGGCAAAATTTAAGGTATATTATTTTATTTTATTTTTTTAAAAAAAACTTCTGTCAAAGGCTAATGACGTATATATGTGCGGTCAACTAAAGGCTCTGTCCTTGCAATATCCTAATGGATGTTGTGTTTCCACGAATTAGGTATCGGTTGGATTTCTTACCAAAGTGTACGTAAGAGAGTTTTATCTATATTTAAGTGGAATTCAATTAGTGAATTTAAAATATATATATATATATTGTTCGGAAAGGAATATATGTTTATATATATATATATATAAATACAAAATTCTCAATAAATACATGCTATACATTTTGTGCTGATAATTCTTGGAAAAGATCGAAGATTGTCATGATAAATTCGAGTCAATCGTGATGAGTACCGTGGTCACTACACTCCCATCTATTGTTAACTTAGGTTATGTTTGGATGGTTTTTTGAGTGTGTTTTTTTTTTTTATTGAGAATGTGAAAAAATATATTGAAAATGTAAAAAAGTGCATTGAGAATGTAAAAAGTTATGATGAGATGAAATATATATTAACTAAAAATTCTGAAAAAATGAATGAAAAAACGAATCAAACAGAGCCTAACCACCCCCAAGATAATGTAAATGGTTGTAGTATAATTAGGGATAAATTACTTAGTAGCACACCAGACAATCGAATTCCGTAAATAATACTAACGTGTTATCGATGATAAATAAATGAGGTAGAATAAACCCAAAAGAAACAGAGGAGAAAGCGCTTTGAGTGGTGGTGAAGTGTGAAGCATGTGGAGAGTACTTACTAGTCCAGAAAAGTGAGCGTACTGTTTCTCTCGTGTATTTTATGACCCCCTCGTCTTGTACAATTTCCTTTCTATAACTCTTGACCCAAATCATCCTCCACCCGTTTTTAGTTTTTACTCCATTTTGATTTTATCCCATTTTCCCTAGTACATTATTTCCTACTCCTGAGCCCCCACTTTCCTCACCTTCTACAGATTGCAGGTTTTGCAGCTAATTTAACCCACAATTTTATTTTATTTTTTACCCACAAAATAAATTACATAAACCTTGTTGTATATCGATTATACGCCTACGGCCTACTTTTCCTAATTTCGGGTTGTTCTAAACAAATGTGTGAATATAGTTCACCAAATAGTGTGTTAAATTACCCAGAAAGGATTTGCCTTTTCTTCGACTGCCTCGGTGGGAGGAAGCAATTTCGTATCCCAAATCAAAATCCAACGCCTTTATTACAAATTCCAATTTGCAAATTGGACATTCAATCTCTCACACTCACACGTCCCCCTAGTGCTACTACTTTTTACTTGCCCTCTATTCTTTTCAAACCCCGACCTCTAAAAACTTTTTCTCTTTTCCGAGTAGTTGACAACTCTCTCTCTTCTCCCCTTTCTCTCTGTCTCAACCTTTCTTTCTCATGCAGCAGGAGCAGAGGGACTCTGCTCAAACTCCGAGCCCAATTCAAATCCTGACTCGCTAAACAATTTTGATCGTCTCTCTTTTCAGGCGACATATTTTCTTCACCAAAAAAAAAAAGAAAGAAAGATTATCATGGCCGCTCCTCCAAAACACTTGCACGAGCTTCTCCAACAAGATCAGGAGCCTTTCCAATTAAAGAATTACATCAACGACAGGCGTTCTCAGCTCAAAAGACCAACTCCCACAACTACTACTAATTACATTCATCCCAACACGACTTCATCATCTTCTGCAATACAAATCAAGAAGCGCAACCCTGTCTCCTTGACTAATACTAATAATTCCACCATCTCTAAACGGAGTCTCTGCAAACATGCTTGCTTCTTCTCCTTCAACGATTCACCGGACGTAAGAAAATCACCTTTTCCTGATTTCCGTTCTCCGGCCAAGAGCCCTTGTAGTACTAGTACTAGTAGTGGTAGGACTAAAAATGGTACGGTTTACCTCCACGTTCCGGCCCGGACGGCTGCTTTACTTCTCGAAGCCGCAATGAGGATTCAGAAACAGCAATCTTCTCCCTCCTCTTCGTCTATTTTGAAACCCAAATCACAGAACAAGAACATGGGTTTTGGATTGTTTTCTTCCATTATTAAGAAGCTTAAAGATCGGAGCCGGAACAGAAAGTGCGGAATTCAGGGCACCGAATCCGAAATTCCGGCAAAGCTCGAGGTAGAAAATGTGGCTGGGGCGAGTTCGAGCGAGGAGGTCTGTTCTTGTTCTTACCATAACAGTAGGCTAAGCAGTGCCGGGTGGTCGGAAAGCAACGAAGAGAAATCGTTGGATATGGAAACTTCTACCAGTAGCTATAGGTCACCGGATTACGAGGGAATGGATTTTGGAGCCCAACACAGTGCCGGGATATTGAGTTGTTCATCTTGTGAAAGTCAGTTTTGTTCTAGTCCATTAAGTCCGTTTAGATTTTCCCTCCAGAAAAGCCCGTCTTCCGGTGGCCGTCGCACGCCTGATTTCTCCCCGCCGGCAGCATCTCCGAGTCGCCGCAGGAATGAGGTTGGTATTTTGTCTCTTATAATTTATTTTATTTTTTTGGCGTCCTCTAATTGACTTATATGCATGACCTTCGCTTATTGATCTCTTTCTCTCTGCCGGCAACTGTGCTAGAGGAATAGTAGAAATGGTAACAAAAATGGTAACATTGAGTTCAGTAAAACGGTAAAACTTTAAAGGGAAAAAAAGTTTAAGGAAGAGGATAGTTATGGTGTTTGTCTCATTCGTGTCAAATAGGCAAGATAGGTTAGTAGTTTCGTGACTCAGAGAACTACGTTTGATGCCATTAAAAGTGTCGGTTGACAAATCTTTGATACTTGCTAAATTGGTCTGATCTGGTGGCCGGAATGTTTACTTTTAATTTACAAATACACCCTTTTGATGGTTAAGACCAGGAAAAGATAAAAATAAAAAAGCAATTCTAACGAAATTTAGGAGTTGTTTCATTAATGACTACTGATGGTATTGATAATGCGACAATTTGAAGGGCAGAGCATGTCATTTTATGTTTGGTATACGTAACGGTTGGTACTCACAGAATTTTTCTTACTTATAATTATTGTGTGAAAATGATCTCTTGAAAAGAGACACCAATCTATTTTATTATTTGTTAATTATCGGGTTGCACTGTTGCAATTACGTAGTACATAATTTGACGTAATAGGCCAAAAAGGTCAGCAGTCAACTTTTTTAGTAGCAATTCTGAAATGTGCCATGAACATGAAGATTTTGCAAGTTGAACAATATTGACGTGTGACATTCATTGCACCACTAACAATTTTTCAATTTGGTTTACAGGGAAAGAAGAAATTATACGAAGGAAATGGTTTTGCAGAGGAATCTAAACAAGTGGAACCGGAAGAGGAAGAAGAGAAGGAGCAGTGCAGTCCAGTATCAGTATTAGATCCTCCATTCGAAGACGAGGATGATGGACATGAAGAAGAGGATGAGGAGGACGAAGATGAAGATTACGACGATGATCTGGAATGCAGTTTTGCATTTGTACAGAGTATGTGAAAATCTTTTCTCTCTCTTTTTTTTTTTTTTTGGTGCGCAGCCGCATTATTAGTCTTTGAATTTTCTGCATTTTCATACAGTTCAGGTGTCACTTTCCACTTATTTGATTTGGGACATTAAGGTTTTGATATATTGGTGGAAAAACATTAAAGATTGTGAGGTCGTAATCGAGTGGATTTTGCTGAATTTGTTGCATGAATTCTCATTTGTGGGATCCATTGGACTTATGATTTAATAATGGTTGATGATATGATTATCTAGGGCATTAGGTAATATACACAGTTTGTACCTGGTCTCTTTTCTGTTAGCCTGACCTCAGTTGGTACCTTCTATCTGATCCCAGCTTTAGGTGGTTGAAATATCAGACAAATTCAATCCCTTTATATCATTTCAATGGCTTGATTTAACTTGAATCTTTAACAATGCATAGTGTCAGCGAACGCCAGACCTATTGTGACTGGGGGGCAGTTTGATTTATCTGTTTTTGGCATTTTTTGTTAATGTCACAATGTTGTATAGTAGTTGATGACATCTTTTTTGGCTTTTGGTTGAACTAATAAATTATAGGAGCGAAGGAGCAGCTCTTGCACAAGCTTCGTCGATTTGAGAAACTCGCGGAGCTTGATCCGATTGAACTTGAGAAAAGAATGATGGAACAACTGGATGGGGACGACGAGAATGAAAGCGAAGATAATGTTGAAGAAGAGAAGTGCGCCGCGGATAACGAATTCCCATCGCCATCAATGCAAAGAGGTAGCAGCAGTAACAGCTATCTCGACTCATTTGTGAATGAAGTGTGCATCAAATCAAGCCTCCAGAGCCGTAGGAAACTTCCAACAGATATGAAGAGGCTAGTTTCAGACTTGATCTCGGAAGAGAATCGTGAGGTTCGGTTCCTGGACAACAAGGAAATGGTGGTTGGCAGAGTTTGCAAGAAGCTGGATTCCTGGAAAGAAGTGGAATCTAACACAATAGACATGATGGTGGAATTGGATTTCAGAACTGAAATGAATGAGTGGAAGAAATTCCAAGAACAAAGGGACGAAATTGCAGTTGGAATCGAGTTTGCCATATTTGGTGAACTGCTGGACCAATTATCAGAAGAGCTACTACTATTATAATCATCAAGTCATGCCCCCTCTTGAATTTCTGAGCTGTTTATTTTTAACTTTGAGGAATAGAATTACCCATCTAACTTGTATCATGTACATTTTTTTAGTAGTATTACTCAATGGAGATATTTATTAATTTACATAATGCAATGATCCACATCTTTATCCTGATCAACACATTATGGCCAAATTTAAAAACTATGCTAAAGAAAAAGCAAGTATTCTTTCTGCTACTACAATGATGATCTGTTGTGTAATTAGTGATGCCTTTATCACTAACATTAATCTACCCAAATAAAGCAACTTTAGCCAAAAGTTTGGTGCACCCTTTTTTTTTTTTTTTTCTTTTATTGTTTTCAAATGATGGCTTGCAAGAAAGCAAAAAATAACAAAGATTAGGTGATCAACAGCAAGAGAACTTAATTCCTTGTCGGGAATTTAAGCCCTTTAGGCCTTCTTCAATATTATTATTCATAAACAACCAACGCATTATTTTGATAACATTTTGCCCCTTTTTACCAGCAACTGGTATCGCTACGTGGAAATCATCAAGGATAACATCCAAAAGATAACTCACAACAATTGATAATCTACAAAAAAAACGAGTGGCTGCTCCCAAATTACGGTGGGGACCACTGAAATGTTCCGTCATACCTACACCCTTTTGTGTTTTGTCAATCGGTCAATCACTCATTTTGTTTTGTTTTTTTTTTTTTTTATCGCACCTAGTTGGATTAATTAAGGCTTAAGAGGTGACTTATATTAGTATTTGTGAAGTAAATTACTCGCATTCATTTTAAAAATTTGAAAAATAGCTAGCTACCAGAAGTTTTTTGTTGTATGCTGGATAGAAAGACAGTTTCTAGAGAATTAGGTTCGATCGGCGGAGTGTGTGTGTGTGTGTGTGTGTGTGTGAGTGATCTGCACTCTGCAGCACAATTTTTGGTCGTTTAATTAACTTTGGAAAATGACTTGTCATCTTCTTTTTAATGTTTTCTTCATTATTTTACCCCAGAGCAGTGATTAAAGTAAAGGGCTTGTGCTAAATCTTGTACGCCACGTACAACAATATATGTTGCTGAATTTGTCCAAGCATGTTCTTCTGTAGGAAAAAATGTTTCCATAAAACACAAATTAACGTTGAACGGTAAACTTCATGATCACTACTGTCCAACCAGCAGCGAATATGACATCAGAAAAGCTCGGCAAAAATCACTGTTAATTTTCCTTTGGCTTAAACGTCCATTTCTGATGCTTGGCTGGAGGCTGGAGCTTATTGATATCAGCTTCTGGTGAGATTTTCTTTTTTAATTTCTTTTATCGCATCTTTAGCCACAAGTTCTCGACAGGTTTGGCAAGGCAAAAAAACTCAATACGAAAATTCGAACTAATTATCATTAACTCCATCTTATGAAAGTAACGCCCGTAAATACAAGACACGATATGATAGTTGAAAGAAATCGGGGGAGAAAAGAACAAAGAATTGAACCAAAGAACAAAGATGGAGAAAAGAAACTTTATTGATGGAATCTGAAATTCAACAATTAAAGGAAATTCACAAAGAATTGAAAGTGTTCTAAATGTGTCAAACACTGCCCTTAAGATAATATTTGCCCCTACTAAATTGCAAACAGAGTTGAATGGCAATTTGCCTCTAGAACTTAAGAACACAAGAACATGCAATTTGCAACTTATTGAATATTCTTCAGGATTTTGGAATGCAAAAATTAAAATGAATTCCTGCACTAGTTCACCTATTTATAGGCAATATTTGCAGAAATAAAATACAAAATAAGTACACAACCCTTAGCTTGTAGGAAATAACCACCAAGCATGTGAAAGGTTGCCAACTTAATTTTATCTTTCAATTTTAAATTAATTATTTTATTTTACAAACTAAAATTTTCAACAATAGTCTCACCCACAGTATTAGTAGTAGGGTTTGTGATTTGTGATTGGGGTGTATGGATGAATTATTTAGACATATAACTTGTCATCAATGTCTTTTTTTTTTTTTTTCCTGGTGAGGGGGATGCCTTAGGCTAATTAACCAAAAGTAGGAAAAAGAATGCTTTCACTGTAGCTGGAGTTTGTGGATTTTGATGGACCAACTAATGGAATGGGACAAATAATTAGTGATTAGCCTCTGCATATAAAGCTGCCAAATAACAGAGAGGAAAAAAAAGGATGGTAGGAACTAGGAAGGGGAAATTAGATGAGAAAGCTTTTTGTGCTTATTCCAAAACCCCATTGTCGGCACACTACGTTTTGGTTGAAACTAGAAACGTCAATTTCTTAACAACATCAAAAGGTGAAAGAACAAAAATCATACAACGAAAGAATGAATATATTAAGGTACAACAAATATATATTCTCCATGATATTGTTGGTCGTTAAACCTTCTCTCACCTTTTAAACCTTTCATGTTGTTACCTTAAATCCTTAGTTTATTTTTTTGTTAAAAAAATTTTTGTTTTTATTTTTATTTTTTTGTAACTGCCATTTTGACCATTGACATGACTTTTTGTTTCCCTAAAACTCCTAATCAATGCATTGGTTGGATTTGTAAGTTAGCTTACTTCAACTTTCACCTACAGTTGGATATAAAGAGTTCTGGAGAGTCTCCGAATTGGAAGATTTTAGTTTTTATGTTGCTCATGGCTGAAAATTGGAGCAGAGGAGTAGAGCAGTCTTTTATAGCTCAGTAGGATGTACAGGGAATTGTACAATAATTTTGGTAAAGGTAGGACTGAATATAGCTCACTCACAGATGTATGGATACCCCATAAGTCCATAACATGTTTTTTTTTTTTTTTTTAAACAATAAAGGAGGCAACTGCTTAAGATTATGAAACTATTATAGTTCGTTCGTAAGAGACATCAACAATATCATGTTTTAACCATAACTTTAAGTTCGGGGATGGATCATCCAAGATAAACCACCTAGACAAGAGGCAGCTAACCTGGCAAGCGAATCGGGCCGCTCCCAATATATGTGCTTCAATTCGACCATAGTCCACAACATGTTCTAGGTTCATTTCTGGCCCGCTCAAACTGCCCAACTTTAATCTACGAAAAAAGGTCAATGTAAATGAGATACAGAGTTGACAAAGTACCCCAATTAACTCAAGGCTTAGGTCGAAAAAATTTGTTTATTAGCCTTTACCATTTGGGCCTCTCATTGACAGAGAAAAGGCTGTTCTTCATTATGAAATGGATCTAAAATGATCCAGTACTTAATTCTATTTTATGTTTTCTCTAAAAAGTGATACTACTTTTTTTATTTTGACATATAATTATTTAATTTGAATTTTTATTTATATTAATAGGAACAGTAACATAAGTAAAAATATAGATACCACAATTATTTGGGATAGAAGGAGCACAAAATAGATCAAAAACCGTTCTTGTCATGGTTTTGTTTATTCATTTATTTGATTTTCCCATTAAGGTTCCTTCTAATAGTTTTTTTTTTTTCTATTATTTTATTTTAAAAAGAAATCAAATCAGAAGAAATGAATGTAATGTTGGAAAAGTCCATGGCTGTATGTTTGGTATTGTCTGGCTTAGTTATTCAATATTTTCGAGTCGCAGAGTTTTACAAGCAAACGACCAAGTGGCTACTAAAACTGCACAATGATTGACTTTGAATTTTCAAAGTTCCACCAGTTGTACTCTTGTACCCCACGTCTTAAATCGGCCCATTTGCTGCCAGCCAATTCTCTTAAGCTCGATTGATTTCCTACAAGCATCCCCAATTAAATTGATATTAATTTTTAGATATTTTTCCAGCTTTGGAAATGGATAGTAATCTGACTGCAGATGAAGATCATCCCGATCACGCAATCCAGATTTGGGAAGTGAACCAAGATCGGCTGGCATTGATGCAGAAGAAAATCTCGGCGGCGCCGGGAATTCTGAGCAAATCAGCCGGCCGGAGTTCGTGTTGCATTTTCAGAGTGCCCAAAAGCCTCAACGACATCAACGGCGAGCACTATCAACCCCGTATAGTCTCAATCGGTCCTTACCATCATGGCAACCCCCAACTCGCCATGATTGAGGAGCACAAATGGAGGTTTCTGGGCATCTTGTCAAAGAGAACAGAGAATAAAGGGCTGAAATTGGAGGACTATTTGAAGGCCGTACAACCCCTCGAAGCAGAGGCCAGAGAGCGTTACGCCGAAGGTTTTCAATTCAACAAAGACGAATTCATCGAGATGCTTGTTCTTGATGGTTGTTTCATAATCGAATTGTTCCGGAAGTTTGAAGGCGTTGTTAAATATGAACCAGATGATCCCCTGTTTTCCATGTCCTGGGTCTTGTCGTTCCTCCTCCGGGATCTGATTCGCCTGGAAAATCAAATCCCGTTTTTCATCCTCCGGCGATTATTCGAACTTACCCAGATGCCCGATGAGGAATCCGGGCCTTCTTTAGGCCGATTGACTCTGAATTTCTTCAACAACGCCTTGGAAAGACCTGAAGAAAGTTTGGATCAGTACAGCAACATTGATGGAAAACATATATTGGATTTCCTGCGATCCAGTTTCATCCCTCCGGAACACAAGGAGCCAAAACCCGGCAAGTTTTCCAACGTCCATGTAATTCAATGCATCTCCGACCTCCGGCGGGCCGGAATCGATCTCAAGCCCGGAAAACAGGACAGCTTCCTGGCTGTCCAATTCAGGCACGGAGTGATTGAGATGCCGACAATTGCGCTTGATGATTTCATGAGTTCCTTCTTGTTGAACTGCGTGGCTTATGAGCAATGTCATGGGAGCAGTTCCAAACACATGACCACCTACGTGACGTTGTTGGATTGCCTGATCAACACGGCGAGGGACATTCAGTTCCTGTGTGATCGGAATATCATCGAGAATTATTTTGGGACGGATGCCGAAATCGCGAGGTTTGTCAACAACATGGGTAAAGATGTGTCCCTGGATAATGATATGTGCTATCTGTCCGGATTGTTCAATGAGGTGAATCAATACTATCGCAGCAATTGGCATGTCACATTGGCAAGTTTTAAGAATACCTACTTTAAAACACCTTGGTCATTCATCTCGGCTGTGGCTGCGTTTGTTCTCTTGGTTCTTACTGTTCTTCAGACACTTTACACAATCCTTAGCTATGTAAATCCTAAATGAAAGAGGTGCAATACCATAGACGAGATTATAGGTGTACATATTTTGTTGAAACTATTCCTCAATTGAGCATTTGTCCCAATATTGATTCATTTGATTTTGCTGTTTAAATTCTTTTGGTATGACGTTCAGTGTTACTTCTATGTTCTCGCTTGATGGATTGAGTATTCCAATTTGCATCCTTGCCTACCAATGGGATTTAAACAAGGTCTGCAAAGACAGACTTACATGGCAAGAATCCAAATTAGTCAAAAGAATAGTTTCAAACATCGACAACTTTATATACAAAAAAAAAAAAAAAGGTTAATACCAAATACACCCTCAAGGTTCAATCCAATATCTAAAACACTCTCATCTTTTAAAAAAATATCAAACGTATCCTTTGACCGCCATGTCAACTATCAATTCAATCCTCTGGTGTTAGAAAGATGATGTATCACTATGATGTCATGAAAAATGAGAGTTGTTAGGACTCTTTTACCCTTTTATATACCCAAAAATTTTAAAAATTCTTTTTTCTCCTCTAGCTAAACTATAACCACTAACCAGCAGCAAGCGGCGGGTGATATTCAACCCTTGCCTTTGCCCATCCCAACTCTTTGTTCCAAATCAAGCACAAGAAATAGAAACACCTTAGTGTCAATCTAAATTTAAATGAAGCATTCTAAACAATCTATCATCCAGTAATGTCAACGAATAAAAAGAATGCAGAAAAATTTGACCTCGCATCCTAGAAATTCACTCCACAAAAATTAATACCAAGGTTTAATTCGAATGAGGGACTAACTTTTGTAGCCACCCTCCGGTAGTTGATTGTCGGCAGAACGTTGCTGTTTAGAGAAAAGATTACCGTCATCAATTGGCAACATCAAAACCTCAATCCAAAAAAAAGAAAAAGAAAAAAGAGCAGCTTGGTCCACCAATAAGAAATCGGTGGTCATGATCTTCTCCCCTTTTCCGTCGGACTGAACCCATCTAACCCAAATAAACCCGAAACCCGTTAAAATTAAATTATGTGGTTACTTCATTTAGAACCATCATTTCCACACGGCTTGTCGCTCAAATCTGATTCGAATGAGAAGAAAAAGATGTGTTTGAATCGAGACAAATCAGATTTGAAGAAGAAGAAAAAGATGCATGTGATGAATCTAAATTAGAGTAGGAGGAGAAGACGCGAAAGAGGGAAAGATGAGAAAGCCACAAAGGAGGAAAAATTGATTGACGATGAAGGAGATGATGATGATAGCGATGGAGTAGGAAGAAATTACAAATGAAGATGAGGACTGAGGGGTAATTTAGTCATTTCAGAAATCTTACGTTTTGACTTTCAATTTTAAACGGTCAAGTGATGCGTTTGATATTTCTTCAAACAGAGAGGGTGTTTTAGATATTGGACTAAACCTTGAGGGTGTATTTGATATTAACCCAAAAAAAAAAGAAAAACAATGCAGAGAATGATATGACCGATGAGAGAGTAGAGAAAGTACTTGGGATTAGAGAGAATTGAAGTTGGTTAGCCCTGCTATTTGGAATTTGGACTAGTACTACCTGGATCATCATCGGGTCTAGTAAATACAAGACTCGTTATTGGGCTGAAAAATCATAAAAGAACACCTAAATTCAAACACTTGTACTCCCTTGGAGCCTTTTCTTGCTGGACTTTCTGAAGTTCTGCTCAATTGAGTCAATGAATCTAGTGTTTCTCTACTGATCTACTCTCTTGGTGCCTCTTCAATATTTTTTTTAATGATTCTATTGTGTTTCCAACAATTAATGTAAAATTGCCATACAAGTTGACAAAATAATTTCTTCAAAGAGTTAGCATTTTGTGGCTTTTATATTGATTTCCACACATTCATTAGTTAAAAAACTATAAAACAATCGTAAAAATGTTGAAACTGATAAATAATCATATATCTTAAAAAAGGTCGTCGATTTGCTCGCCAGCTTTGACAAGTCGACGTAAAAGACGATGAAACGAAATTCTCTTAAAAAAATGAATTTTTTGAGTTTTATATTAATATTGATACCTTAATTAATTGAAATTTATATACAATCAAAAGTTTGTAAAATTATGAGAGATAATGGATTTTAAATTTCGTTGACTTTTTTGTCAACTGTCTGGTCATATTTGTTTTATAGACCAACAAGTTGACAATAATTTCTTCAAAGAGTGAGCATTTTGTGGCTTATATATTTGCTAATCATACTTAATTTCTGTACAACACAAGCCATTTTCATGTTTTAGTTCTCGGACAAGACATCATTATTTACTTACTTGCCTTTTGGCAAATTGCATGCCATTAGTTGATAGATTTAAAGACACCTTTGATCCTACCATATATGATTTCCTGGATATAAGATTGCACATTCTACTGTTCATTATGAGGTTATTCATCATCGAGAATCTGTTCAATTAGTAGTTTATTCATTAAGCAAATGAAACTTGTCATACAAGGTTACATTTCGAGGAACAAGGCAAAAGGCTCAGTTTTAATGAATAGAACCATAGTCAAACTGGATATGTTGACAGATCGGTCAATATTAGGATGAACTCATCTTTCCGGTTGCCCTTTGGGTCATACATTAGATGTTTGGATTTTGGAAGGTTAAGGGTGTAGAGTTTGATTTATATTTGCAAATGTATAGATGAGGGGTTGAGGATTTCTGTAAATTCAAAAAAAATGAAAATAAAAATACTCCATCTATTTTTTTTAACAAAAAGAGTACTAATAATGAAGAGAATGCGCCTAGAAAAAGAGTAAGAAAACCAGGTGTCAACATCCCTCCTGAAGACGGGAAACATCAGATTAGTGACCCCCTAAAGCGGGGCCCTTCTCCATCTTATGGTGTTTGACTTGATGAAGGAATTACGAATGCGATTGGTCTGCTCAAGTTTTTATGTAAGATTAGAGGTTCATTCTTAGGTTGGTGGGACAAAAGTCAAAATTCGAATGATCAGAAATTTAGAATTGATGGATCAGAATCCCCACTTCAAACTTAGATGGCTTCTCTTCACCAAACTATATTGAAAATCTACACTTTAGAATTGCACTGAAATTAGTACTGTGTCATTATTCAACCTGTATATCTTCCACATCTCAGTTGAGCTCACTACTATGCCTTTCAAGGTTCTGTTGGTTTTACAAATGATCGGTTAATGTCCAATGATCACAATAATATGGTCTCCCACAAAGAAGAAGATGAAGGAGATTGATCGTTCTATTTATTTTTTTTTTCTTTAATCGTTAATGGAAGTGTGGTGATTTAGCATGATATCAGGCTCATCAGCTGTTGGAAAATCGTACTATAAATAAATTGGAGAAGCGCCAGAGATGAGATCTTATATTACAATTTGCACATTTCTGATGATGTGCAGTCAAGACCAAGAGACCATCAATCAACAGTCCAACATGAAGGCTTTATTGATGTAATCACAGTCGAGCAGGAAGTAAGATGAATTGATCATATTCATTTTATATGCATTAAAAAAATACAGGATACATAAAAGAAATTTAAACCAGATAGTTTTCTCTGATAACAAATGCGTGCATGCATGCGATTTGTTACATTACACAGAAACTTGAATGTCGCGTCTTTTCCGTCTTCTGGTTACTATAAGTCTATAACCACAGGTGCACGGCAATGGCACAGGAATATTACTCGTTAAGCAACAAAACACAGGACCCTGCAGTTGAAATATCACACCACAAATAAAAGCAACAAATTGAGAAATGCTAGACCCTTCTCAATACATCAAACTACCAGTTTACTTAATTTCCTCTTGTTTTTTTTCACTTTGCAATGAAGGTAATTAAGGTTTTTATTAATTAGAACTTGTTAGTCCTTTTTTTTTTGGGGGTGGTTTGTTTCCCCCTTTGGAAGAAAGATGGCAGTTGTTGGATATCATTAAGGAAAGTAATTCCAGAGGTTGTGATCATCTGATCCCACGGAATCATCAGCGGCATAGGTTTGATAATTATCTCCGGGAATGTCCAGGCGGGGTGGGCTTAGAAGCATCCCTTCAGCCATGTTGGCCAGAACATTCGGCATATCAAATATCAAATCCTCATCAACAAACTCATTTACCAAATCCGAACCCGTTGGGATGCTGATCATCATCTTGTTTGATGATTCATTCGCTCGGGCTGAGGCATTGCCAACTAGGGCATCCATCGCCGCCCCGGCCGCGGCCGCGGCACTGGCAGCGGCTGCCTGAATGTCCCGGGGAGAAGTGGAGGCAGGAGAAGGCAACGAAGATGCCGAATTCGGGAAATTCAGCTCGGCCTCCGGACCTTTCAGCGCAAGTGCAGCCACATCATAGGCCACGGCAGCCATTTCGGGGGTTGGAAAAGTTCCAAGCCATATTCTGTTTGGTGATTTTGGTTCCCTAATTTCTGACACCCATTTTCCACTACTCTTCCTGCGCCTCACTCCCCGGAAACTCCGTTGTCTCCCCGGTGGAGGCGCAGCCTCCGTCGGAACACCCCGGTCACTGGAAGTTGACATGGATCACTTGTTGTGATGTTTGATTTCGTGTGTGTTGAAAATATTAGGGAAGAAGGTGGTTTGGAAAAGAGGAAGATGAATGCAGCCATTTATGGGGATTGGAAGATTTAGGGTTTAGATCTTAGTTTTGGGGAGAATACAGAGGGAAAGAAGTGGTAACCAGTTGGTGATGAACTGCCGGTTCAATGGATTAGGGATGGTGGTGTAATCCAGCTTGATGATGGACATCTGGGTTGGAAACCGTTTCTTCAGTTGAACTTACAAGGTTTCAGTACGTCATTAACAGTCTCACTAAACATCTTTCCGCATCTAATCAAGATTATAATGTAATAGTGCTGGCCTCTTAAGTATTAAAGTTATCATGATTTGACCTATCAAGAAAGGTCTAATTATTATTTTAACTAATCCCCCTCGTATAGTTTGATATTCTTACTGATAATCTCACGTTTTTGCACTTTATGATCCCTGCCAATATATAACCCGGGGATAAATCACTCATTAATAGTATTGTCAAAAAAATAATACTACTGCTGAACATTTTAGATGTTGGACAATCATTTCAGTAACTAACATTATGAGTGTATAAAATGATGTGCCTAGTAAAAAACAAAATATTTTGTTTGTGCGAAAAATTACAAGTCAGTCATATTTAAAGTTTTATTATAGTCTGATTTGTTGAACATGCATCAACCTTTCTCAACATATAGGAAATAGTCAAAAGTCGGCACCCTATAACATGCAATCAACAGATCGTTTATCTAAGATATCTTTTCTTTTGCGCATAATCCTTCGCCACTATATATGAAAACTGCTCTAACCTAATAAGTGCTGCCGACTTGAAATTAATAAGATGTCACCGTTGTGTACTCATTTCTGGATTTAGGTAAACTTGAGAAGTGAATGATATTTTATCGATTCTAAGCTTATGAGCAATACTAAAACCTTAAAGAAAACTACTATGGTTTTGTGAGTATGCATGGGTTTCCTTATATCTCAAAATAATTATCTTCTTTAATTTTTCTTTTAGTATAATTTATACTAAAATGTACTAGAATTCATATATTATTGACGCCATCAGAACATTATTTGTCAATCTTTAGAACAAATTATAATTGACGTCGTTGGATCCAATGAAATGGTGATGGAGTAGTATAGTTTTTGGTTTCTCACCATCTGGTGTTAACAAAACCGATTCTATCTTGTGCAGTATTCCAAGAAGAAAATGTGAGTGCATTCTGCGGAATAGGCAAGTGAATAAATTTGTCAGATACCGACGTGAAAACTTGGGCAAAAAGTCTGGGAAGGTTTTCCACACTATTCCACTAACGCATTGAACACCATTAAGACACGGATGATCAATCGAAATGCAGTTTGACAACAATGACATCCTCTTAAAGTCCTTGTGTATATGTATAATAATAACTTTCTAACTTGTGTATATATATATGTATATATATATATATATATATATGTACATACTGAACACGTTCTTCGATCGATGAGAAGTCGCATTTTTGAAAAAAACTTGCTAACTCAGGCTTGCTTCATTGAAATCTAGTAGGTACTAGTACATCATAATCCACCTTCTTTTGTGCTTAAAAAGGAGTAACTTGTAATTAAATTGGTACAATAAGGATCAAAGTACTGTAGAGTAAAGACACAGAAAGACAGTCAAAAGGGGTAAAAGTTGTTACGTGGCAAATTTGTGTGTTTACATTTCATGTGATACTAACATTAATATCTCTTCTGTTTTCAAATAGTCATTTAATTTGAATTTTTCATTTTTAGTTCAAATTATGTTAAAATAAATCTACTATAAGACAATCACTTTGGGACATAGAGAATATATATATATCTAGTATTTTCCATGTGTCACATATTTAAATTATCCTATAAAAAATATAATAATGCTTTTATTTCAAAAATATAATCCACATTGAATTTTCAAATTTTTAGAGGGAGTGTAAAAGTATCACAATTCACAAAAGATTTGATGGTTATGTCAAATGAGTAATCATATGTTTTTCAAACCTGGGATGAGTGGAGAGATTAATCGAAAGGAAACATACATCGACCCATGACAATAACATTTGACCTGATTCCAGTACTTAATTACCCGTATAGTGGAACATAAAACGGCGGACATATGGTCTGATTTTGATGCATAAGTGTGTGGGAAAAAAAAAATCCATGTTCCATTTAGAAGTTTAATTTGAAAAGTCATGACTCTTGTGTTTTCAAAAAGGCTGGATTTACTAGTTTATACCAAGTGGACGAGGTTTTATCCGGATTAGCTTAATCTGGAGATCCCATCAGGCAATGACCTGTATCCCTGCTAAATTCGGTACTATTGTGCATTTGTGACATAGGACATACTCATCGGGCGTCCGTTCTCCAAAAGTGATCATTCAAATTGGAAATTCGGTTCGTTATAGATAGAGTGATTTATCCAATTCATCTATCAATAAATTATTTAGTTGGAGTTCGTAAGTTCGTAACTCTTTAATTCATCAATTCAATTGAATTCAGTTCTGGTCTTCAGTTTCAAGTTTCAACTGGTATTCACTGATTATTATGTCTCGACTTCCGTAAGCATTATGGCTACGGTGGATTTTGTTGGGGGATTTGGGCATGCTTTTATAACCAAATTTTGGGCCTGTATCTGCCACTTTGGGTCCAAACAAAACTCCTTCAAAAACTCGTTATTGTGGATGGAACCAAACTCGCCGAGTATGCAATGGAAGATAAAATCGTTGAAGGGATTTTTTTTTTCTTTCTTTTTCATAAGACTGGAAAGAACAAGCGTAGTATGAGGTGGAAAGAAATGAAATTAATTTTTTGGAAGTATCATACTTGTTTTTTTTTTTTTTTGGAATTCTATTTTCAGACTTGTAATCTGCAAAGAGAGCAAACTAGGAGCCTAATAAGTATACCGTATTTCTAAGGCTTTGTTTGTTTTTTTTAGTTGGTTTTTTCAGAATTAAATAATAATAACTATTCCATTTCAACAGATCTTTTTACATTTTCAATACAAAAAATATCTGAAAACATACACTAAAAAACAAAGTATACCGTATTTCTAAATGTTTCACCTCGCCATCTCCAGTAAAGGGCAGGGCTTTTGCCTTTTTGTACCCAAACAACTTGGCCGTTTAGCAGCTATAGCTTAGCTTCAAATTTTAATTTTTACTCAACAAAAACTTCTAGTTCTAGCCAACCTTGCAAGTTTCCTGGTTGAACTGTACTTCAAAGCTAGACGGGATCGGAGACCATTCCAAGCACTAATTAGGTCAATATGAGATAGGAACATGAGAATTGTTTGTTTGGGACTTATGAAAGTGTCCAGCCGAACTAATCTTGCTGGTATGGTTATGCATATATGCCGAGTAGGCAGGGTTGATACGAGTCACCAATTGAGGTATATTATTATTCATTCATTTGAAAGTTTCTATTATCATATCTCAAACACGGTTTTTTATATAGTACTTCTCTTGAAATGATTATCATATTTGAATTTTCGTTTATAATATAACTTATATTAAAAATTAAAAATTCAAACAAAAAAATCATTTTAAGAAAAAAAATATATAAATGTTAATACTTTTTTTTTGTACAATATATATGTTACTTAATATTTTTGTAAGAAGATTTCATCGAAATCCAAAAAATGAAATTGAGTTCGCCGTAGGTAAACATATTTTCCATTTTTCCTAGTGATAGCGAATCAAAAAAAAAAAACTAACAAATGAGTATTCATTCCTTCTGTCTAAAAAAAAAAAAGTCTAATTTTATTAAAAAAAATAATCTTTTTTCATAAAAGTCAACATTAATTTGATAAATTAACTAAAACATCCCCATAACGAAAATAGAGGTAATTGAGAACAGAAAATTAATTTAATTGTTTAAACATAAATTATTTTTTAGAATAGAAAAAGAATATTTCACTGTTACATGCACTACTCTAGCATATACTTTAGAGGCCGTGGCAGCTTATAATAATTTTCATATGTTTCCAACAAACTTTTGTTGCAAAAGGGGTGGATTAATGTTCATTTTATAACGCATTAAAACTAGCAACCAACACTATGATGCGAAACTAATAGTACTAAATTTAAGTATTTAACATATGTTCATGAGTCTCTCTTCTTTATTCCTGCACGTCCTTTTTGTTTCTCCAACCCTTTCCGAAATCCACTAATACTATAATTCTTGCTTTTATCCCAACATGGTATCGAACTCTCTTTGAATTAGCAAACTAATGGAACCCAAAATTAAAGCGCTTTTAGGTTTCAATAATTAAAGGGGCTTTTCAAATTTAATTTAATACATCCCAGCTCACTAGGAAAGTGACGCCTGTCAAAAATGACCCAACTCTAATCATTCAAATTCGTGATTATATCAAAACGGAAAAAAAGTTATGTGCTTTTTCTAACTACTTAATTTTTTTTTTCAAAAAAAAAAAAAAAAAAAACTTGACATCTTTTCTTATAAATCATGATTAGGCATCTTTTCTTAGGGGTGGACAACTCAATCCCCATTTGAACCGATAAGACAACTTATTTTGAAATACATTCCCCGAATCAGGAAAAGTGATATATGGCCGGTTTCGTTGGTTGCCTTTCTCTCTTTCTCCTCCGGCGATTTGGTGTCTCGTGTTTTCCGGCCAACAATCAAACGCTTTGTTGACTAAGCCTCTTGCTCCACTGCTCACGCCCTATATAGTGCATGACCTCGTTTCCAAGTTGTGGCTTATTGTGCGATTTGCGTCATAACGGTCCAGGATAGAAAAGGATAATTTGTGTGCCTCAACATTATCTTATTAATCTTTCATTCAACAAATCAAATTAAATTTGTAACGCCTATATTCAATCAATTTGTTACCTCTAAATGTACCATGTTACATGTCACAACGCGGCAACTTTGGAATTTTTCTTATTACACGTACCTTTAACTGAATTATGAAAATTTATAAAAGCAGTCATTACATGAGTTTCATAGTAAATATGGTTCTTCTTACGTATAAATAGGGGCGGAACCTTTAAGGTGCTCGGGGGATACCGAGCCCCCTTAGATGTAGTCGTGTTTAACTTTACGCCATATATGTCCTATCCTGTATTTTGACCATAAAGACGTAGTCAACCCCTCCAAATATGAGTAGCTGGTTCTGCCACTGCATATAAATTGTCATGGACAGGAACATGGTATCATTTTAACATATGTGCAATGTGCTACGCTAAAATGGCGTTTTTCTTCTGAAATTTTTGTGACATTAAAATTGTGAATGAAATTAAGGGATAAAATTTGATTAAACGTCAGTCAATTTATAAAACAATCAGAAGGAGCTCGTGGGTCATAATCATCTGGTGGTCCCTTGATTGTTTCCCAACTTTAC